AGCGGTATTTTCGAGCTGTATCTCATGTCCGCTATCAAATATCATTGTCGTGGAGTGCATATTACGCATGTGAAGGACTTAAAACTCCAGATCAGATGAAACATATATACGGGAGATATGTACTTGCCTCTAGACCGAATTCGGTAGGATGTGCCAAAATTCAAGACTTTTGGACTGATATTGGCCATTTGGTGCACAACTAACCCAATATCGGTTGAAGATGAATACGGAAGCTATATCCAAATTTGAACCGATGGTGAAAACCAATTTCAAAAGGGTTCGTCCGTGGGCCAAATAAATATTTTTTGGAAATTTTCATCTCAATCGGATAATAAATGCGACCTGCTTTTTGTAGACAAATATATATAGACAGACGGACGGACGGACGAAGAGATGGACTAACATGCATGAATCGACTCAGAAAGTTATTCTACAAAGATCCTTAAAAGTAAGTATGGGTCTTCTCGCTTCTTTCTCCATGTTACAAACAAATGAACAAAGACATAATGCCATTACCAATATGTGGTGTAGGTATAAACATTTCGATGTTTCTTCGAATTTTGGGCTAAACTTCCGAAAAAATTCCGAAATTTTACAGCGGATTGAATTTTTTTGAAATAAACTTTTTTTTAATAACAACAATTGATGCCATTATTCATGGTACATATTAAGTATAAAAATTTCTTTTGTTCACAGACTCACAATGAAATTTGATCTAAAACAATTCCTATTTTGACACTTTTCCCAAAAAATTAAGTATAAAGGCAGATTTTGTCTCGGATTGGCTACGAGTTAAATTAACAGTACAAAAAAAAAACAAAGACATAATTTTCAGTTTTAGTACATACATTTTGAATGTTTTTTTTTTTTTATAAAACCTACTGTCCATAGATGTGTGGTTCATTCTGATATTTATAGAGAAATTTCGTGAGGAGTATTTCTTCCTTCGACACCTTCCACCTAAAATGAAATTTTATGAAACTTTCAGACGTGAAATCGAAAGAAAACAAAGTTTTTTGTTTTGAGCATTGATGCAATAATATTTCGGCATACAATGAAAATATATATTTTTTCTTTGGTGACTTATAGTAAAATTTTATGAAAAATATTTTTTTCTTTCCTATCATCCTTCTAAAATGATGATTTGTAGCCGATTTTTGCGCAAACTCACACAAAGAACAAAGAATATTAATTACTGGCGTTTAAGTAATTGGACACTAGGACTAATAGTAGAATTTTATGTTGAATAATTTTGTGGAATATTTTGACTTGCTACGATGCCGTTTAAAGGGAGTTTTTAACCATATTTCAGAAAATGGACCAAAAACACCCCTTAAAAATTTTTGACCAAAATATTCCTCGCTTTTTTATCAGCAATATTCAAGGAATCTTAATCCGAAAATATCTGAAAGAGTGGAAGAGGGGGAACTTTATTAGGGTTACTTAGCGATGTAAACTTTTAAAACGCCGATATTATCTTTTTATACCCTCAGCCATATGGCAACAGAGGGTATGTATCATTTGATATAGTCAAAACGTGTCTCATCGAAATAACGGGTTTAGATCCTAGATCTCTTTGGATCAAATCCGTTTCAGGACATTTAGAGTCGATCCGGCGATGTCCGTCCGTCCGACTGTCTGTCTGCTGACTGGTGCGCACGATATTTCTCAATGGCAGTATTCGATTTAGTCCAAACTTGGTACATCGTAATATTATTATCAAACATAGATCCAGTACGGAGATGGGCAATATCGGTCCACTCCTTCTGGTACCTCCCTCACAAAGATCAAAATTGTAAAAAAAAAATATTTTACTGCACAGAAAGAGAAAGGATAATCCGATCCAACTTTGCAAAACCTAATATCCGCTAGGTCAGGTGCGGAACTGGACAATATGGACCTCCCCATCACCACAAAGGGTCAAAATTTTGAATAATTATTACTTTTATAAAATGTGATGTAACAGTCCAATTATCTTCAAATTACAAACATCACAATATTTTTATTAACCCAAGGTAGGGTGTGAAGATGGAATTTATCGATTTACTCCTTCTGGTACCTCCCCCCCAATGGGTAAAAATTTTGAATACCAATGGAGCTCATAAAACGAAACGAAATTTACATCCGATTCCATTCAGACTTGACACGTCTCAATATTTTTATCAACACAAGATCTGTTATAAAGATGGTAGAGATCAGACCATTTCTTCTGGTACCTCCCCCACATAGGGTTCAAGATTTTGAAAAACAAAACTCTTAATATTTCACACACACAAACATTTTTGCTAACACAAGATCTGCTATTAAGATGATATATATCTGCGAACCGCTTCTTGTACCTCACCCACAAAGGATCTCAATTTTCAATACTTTTATCTGTCATTATTTACGAAACAATTCAGCGATTCTTACAACATGCTATATCTAAATATTCTCTCAACCAGAAACCTGAGATGAATATGGAATCTATGATTTCGATTAAATAATCGAAATATAGTTGACTAGTGTTACAATTATTCAAACGTTTGGCCCTCTATGGAGCAGGTTCCGAAGGAATGAACCAATATTGTCCATTTCGTATCGGACCCAAAAATATGATATAAATATTCCGACGTTCCTGGTATGGATTATATCGACTCACTCCTTCACTTTATATGAGATACGTAATAATTTTTAGAAAATGTTAAAATGTGCGTGATGTACCAGATAGAGTCTACCGAAATATTCCATTTTTTTACTTCATCTGATACAAATAAAAAATATTGAGCGAAATATTGAGCAAAATAACAAGAAAGGATATTTATTTACAATTTTATGCGAAATCATAAATTCCGATAAATTTCATATTCATATCAGGCTTCTTATCGAGAGAAATATTTGAGCATAGCAAGTAGTGAAGAATTGCTAAATTGTTTCGATAGTTATGACAGATAAAATTATTGAAAATTGTGACCCTTTGTTGGGGAGGTACCGGAAGGGGTTCGCAGATATATATCAACTTCACAACAGATCTCGTGTTGGCAAAAATATTTGTAAGCGTGAAATTTGAAGACGTTCGGATCCTTACATCACATTTTATAAGAGTTATAATTATTCAAAATGTTGACCCATTGTAGGGGAGATACTTGATGGAGTGGACCGATACTGTCCATTTTAGCACCTGACCTAGTACTAACACAAATATTAGTATTTGCAAAGTTAGAGCAAAATCGGATAATCGTTTCTCTTTCTGTGCAATAAATATATTTTATACATATTTTTTTTTTTTTTTTTTTTTTTTTTTTTTTTGAAAATTTCGACCTTATGTGGGGGAGGTACCAAAAGGAATGGACCGATGTATTCACTCTTAACACCAGACCTTAGGTTAATAAAAATATTGGGATATGTGAAATTTGGAGACAATCGGACTCTTACATCACATTTTATAAGAATTGTAATTATTCAACATTTTGACCATTTGTGGGGGAGGTACTTGATGGAGTAGACCGATATTGTTCATTTTCACACCTGACCTAGCACTGATGAAAATATTAGAATTCGCAAAGTTCGGATTATCCTTTCTCTTTCTGTGCAATAAATTCATTTCTTTGAAAATTTTGACATTTTGTGTGGGAGGTACCAGAAGGAGTGGACCGATATCGCCATCTCCGAACTCGATCTAAGTTTGACAAAAATATTACGATGTACCAAGTTTGGATCAAATCAGATACTTCCTTCGAGAGTTATCGTGCGCACCAGCTAGCCAGGCAGACAGACAGACGGACGGACGGACATCGGTAGATCGACTGCAAATGTTCTGAAACGGATTTGGTCCAAAGCAGTGGTGCCCAAAACCGTGTTCTAGAACATGAAGAGAAAAAAGAGATAGTTTAAGAGAAAATTAAAATTCTGTTTTTCTTTATATTTTACGGTTCTATTTAATTGTTTTTAAACACGAATGTTTGCAAAATAATTTATAAAGCAAATGGATAAAAAATATTTGTATAAATAATGACTTAACACTGTTTTGTTCTTGATTTAAATAAGCAAAGAGAAGTTTGACTGAAAAGAGATATTTCTTCTTGTGCACCCCTGGTCCAAAGAGACCTAGGGTCTAAAACCGTTATTTCGACTAGGCACGTTTCGACCGTATCAAATGATATATACCCTCTGTAGCCATATGGCTGAGGGTATAATAATCATATATCCCATACAAAGTGAAGGAAATAGTAGATATAGTCCAAGCCTGGCATATCGCAATATGTACATATATCATATTTATTCAGGTCAGATATGAAATAGACAATACCCACAATTTGAATAATCATAACAGAAGTCAAAATATATTTAAATGATCGAGCATTGGCTGAGGGTATCGTCATCTAACGTCAAAACCGACTGATACTTTTTGTTTTAGCTCTACTCTCATAATCATTTTCCGTAATAATATTTTGTGTGGCTCAGTGTAATCAATGAATGTCCCCCTTGGTAGCTCTTAATTTTCACCTCGATTTATTTTGCAAATTTAATTTGATATAACGGGTAAATTAAGGTTACTCAAATAGTTAAAAAGAAAACAATTGCCAATAAATGTTGGAATATTTGTATTTTTACAAATTGAATAAACACCCGAATATGTTACATATGATGTTTATTTTCATACATTTTTGGCAAAACCAACTGTGTTTATATTTCACCAATCCCGCCTTATCATTTCCCATTCATTTGTGTAACCATTAAATTGTTATAACATTTTGTGTAGCAATTCACATAATTCATATTAGTTTTAATTCAAAGTTTAATTTATTAGTTTCAGTGTTCACTAGGTTTATTTTTGATTCTCTTGTTTCTTTTTCTTATTGGGTGTTTTTATTTTATTTACCCCAAACTATCTGTTTGTTTTTGTTAGCACCGACCTATGTTTATGTTTTGATTTTGGCTCTGAATCTCATTTGTCACCTTATCACGTCGAAAGCTAATGTATCGGTCGTATCGGTAGTGGCTAGCGTTTGGCAAAAGGTGCGCGTGAATGAAGTTGTTGTGTTGCCCTTAACGCAGACTCAGTTGGTTATTGGTCTTCACGCTGTGAACGCGCTTTCATTGGGATTGTGACGGTGTAATCGTTTCGCTCGTTTTTGTTTCAAAGTTTAAAGGAAATACAAATTTTGCATTTTTAGAAAAATTTAAATAAAATGGTAAATGTAAAAAAATTTAAAGAAACCTTAACAAAAAAAAATATTTTACACAAATTTATTAATTTGTGGATTTAATTATTATTAAACGAAATGAACGTAAAAAGCTTATTACATTTGTGTCAAAAATATACGTTGATAATTGAAAGTGTTTAACAAACCTTATAACAATTTATAAATGTGATTTGTTTTTTAATTTTTAAAACTGAACCTCTAAAAGGGTTTGACTTTTTTCAATACAACTACCAAATAGAACTAACTAAAATTAATAATAGTATAATGGCAAACAAAACAAATTTTCAAAATAATTAGTGTGATACGTTCTATCGGAATAAATGTTTTCTTATTTGTTAAATTTACTTTATAACTTGAGTGAAATCTTAACAAATCTGATACAATTTTCAAGGACGTCGGTATTTACATTTTTAATAATCACGAAATATCACGACAAAAATAATACTGGCGTGTATTTGGCCCTTGTCAGTTTTCCTAGAAAAAAATGTTGTTTTTTCTTTGATTATTCATGGTTTGCATTGATGTAACTGAAGTGTTTAAAGAAAAAGGCATCGAAATATACAAAAACAGAAATAAAAACCAGTAAAGAAAGACTTAAAGTCGGGCGGGGCCGACTTTATGATACCCTACACCACTTTGCTAATTTAGTAGAGCTTCGCATAAAAATTAAAAGTTTTTATGGGAGAATTCAATCATACACGCTTTGATTATAATTATAATTTAAAGTTCAAAGGATTAAATATGCCGAAGCATTTGTATCTTTTAAATTCGGACTTGTATTGCCCATTTGGTGCACAATTAATTTGAAATCGGATAAAGATATATATGGGAGCTATATCCAAATCGGAACCGATCTCCATAAAATTTCGCAAAGACATTTCTGAGTTGTATTTGATATATTTCCCTGAATATCGGTGTTACGGAGTGCATATTACGGCTGTGGGTAACAAATAAAACAAATCGGATGAACAGTATATATGGGAGCTATAGCCATATCTGAACCGATCTTCACCAACTTTGACATATGTACTGGCTTCTAGACTAAGTTCGGTCCTAAGTGCCGAATTCCATCCCATTTTGACAAATATTAGACGTTTGGTGCAAAATATAAGGTAAATCGGACGAATTTATATATGGGAGCTATATCCAAATCTGAACCGATCTCGATAAAATTTGGCACATGTAATTCTGGACTGTATTTAGTATATTTCCTTGAATATCGTTGTTACGGAGTGCATATTACGGCTGCGAAGGACAAAAATAACAAATCGGATAAACAATATATAAGGGAGCTATAGCTATATCTGAATTCGATCAAATTTGGCATACTTATTTTCAGGCCTAAATTGGTTGTACGTGCAAAATTTCATACTATTCGGGCTGATATTACACGTTTGGTGCACAATAAAAGGCAAATCGGACGAAGATATATATGGGAGCTATATCTAAATTTTGACCGATTATCTCCAATTTCAATAAGGTTCGTCCTTGGGCCAAACAAATGTTTTGTGCAAAATTTCATCTGGATAGGGCAATAATTGCGAACTGTACTTTGTTTACAAAAATACATGGACAGACGGACAGACGGACAGACGGACGGACGGACGGACATGCATAAATCGACTCAGATTGTGATTCTATGCAGATCATCAAAAGGAACTATGGGTCTATCTCGTTTCCTGTTACAAACAAATGCACAAAGACATAATACCCTGACCACCTTGTGGTGTAGGGTATAATAAAAGACACGTGTGGCCGAGTTTTGAAAGTTTACATTGCGAAGTAACATAAATAGGTGGGAAAATTTCCCACTCTTCAACAGATTCTTTGGAATCCTTGCACTTTAAGTGTGTAGAATCCTCGCAAAATTACTTACAACTAGATGAGGATTATTTAAAACCTCAAGTGAGTCACCAAAGGGGACTATTGGCCTTTTTTCATAATATTGTTAAAAATTCACTTTAAACGGGATCGCAGCATGATGAAATATGAAAAAAAAAATAAAAATAAAAATTTAATTCTTCTATAGGCCGAAGTATCCATGAAAAGTTAGATTCTAACATAAACCGCAAAATTGTCGTACAAAGGAAGACCATAACAATAACTAAAATCAGGGGGTGTCATTATACAATTGCTGTACTAAATCGTGGACCCATATTTATAATTTTTTATTAATAGCAAAATGCCAAAATTGGACGAAATTATATTGAAAGTGGTCAAAACGATAATAAAAAAAAACAAGTAAGCAAGGGCTATAGTCGTGCCGGGCCGACCATGTGATAATCTACAATATTTTAGAAGCCCATTTATGTCCAAAGCCATTTTGGAAGATTTTGCTTTTGAAATTATAACACGGAGCACTGTCCAGATATTACTCTTAGCATTTTGGACATTTTCCCAATATTTACGCACTTAGTTGTTGTGGTCCATTTTACAGCTAAATATAATTCAATGATTATCCAAAATGCTAGAATTCTTCCCTGTCCTTAACTCTCTTCTCCGACGTGTCGATTGGCTTCAATTGTGTGATCAGGACATTTTTTCTGTTTTTGTTCATTAGAAACCCTAAATATATTTTCGAACATGAGTCTCCAAATTTAGACTCATCTATATGATATGTCCTAAACTCTAACTTCATGCGAAATTTCGTGTCCTTTAGTTTCTATTTGTGACCTGTATAACGGCTGCAAAATCTGGAACATTTTTAGTTGTTGGTCCATTTCAACCCAAAATTGCAAACAAATTCCGAAAAATACCGTTTAAATGATGACCTTTATACGAGGGCTATATGAAGACGTGGACCTACATAAGTAATTTTTAATCATAGGATGTTCAAATACGAAATTTGAAGCAATTCGGTTAAATAATGTAGCTTAAATCATAAAAATACCGAATATCGAGAGATAACGTTATATGGGGGCTATACGAAAACGTGCAGCGACGTGGCCCATTTACGAACTTAACCTGGCTACTGGCAAAATACACATGTTTTCAACACTTTAGTCTTCTATCTCAATTCGTTCGATTTTAGAATCTTACGCTGATCCAGAATATACAGGGTGAGATGTAAAAACTGCAATCAGCTTCAGACCGCTGTCATTTCTAAGCCACCCATCCGACAGCTGTTAAAATTATTCCAGTGACAGCTCATTATATTGTTTACAAGCGTACAAAATCATTTTGGGGAGAATTTTCCAGGAAAAAAGTTATTCGTGATGACCACCAGAACTCAAGCTCCGGCCATGGTGATGGTGTGGGCCGCCGATGGTCGCTCCCCACTCGTATTAATCGGCCGCGGCTTCAGAATAAATGCCGAACATTATCGCCAAAAAAAATCTGGAGGGTGTATTAAAGCCTTGGGCACGCAAACATTTTGGCCGCAGACCTTGAACATTCCAACAGGACTCAGCACCATCGCACACAGCACGGGCCGGATACCAATCCCTTGGACTATTGTGTCTGGAGTATTTTGGAAAGCAAGGTTGGAACTAAAAAATATCAAAGTGTTGATCACGACAAGCAAGCGTATCGCCGGGAATTGGCCAAAATACCGTAGAGCAACATTCGGGCAGCGTGTGACGGTTTCATTGGCCGTTTGAAGGCCATATGATATCTTGAGTTATCTTGTGTTGAATAGCATTATTATGGCTTATATATAATAATAATATAATATAATATAATATAATATAATATAATATAATATAATATAATATAATATAATATAATATAATATAATATAATATAATATAATATAATATAATATAATATAATATAATATAATATAATATAATATAATATAATATAATATAATATAATATAATATAATATAATATAATATAATATAATATAATATAATATAATATAATATAATATAATATAATATATATAATATAATAATATAATATAATATAATAATATAATATAATATATATAATATAATATAATATAATATAATATAATATAATATAATATAATATAATAATATATAATATAATATAATAATATAATATATATAATATAATATAATATAATATAATATAATATAATATAATATAATATAATATAATATAATATATATAATAATATAATATAATATAATATAATTAATATAATATAATATAATATAATATAATATAATATAATATAATATAATATAATATAATATAATATAATATAATATAATATAATATAATATAATATAATATAATATAATATAATATAATATAATATAATATAATATAATATAATATAATATAATATAATATAATATATATAATATAATATAATATAATATAATATAATATAATATAATATAATATAATATAATATAATATAATATAATATAATATAATATAATAATGGCTAAGTAGCTTTAGTGCCGAATCGGGTGTCAAATTTGGTAATTGGTTCAGATATAACAAAAACTCCCGATGCATCATATTTGGATAAATATTGCATATCATTACCAAAACAAATATCCCCTCTAATATTGTACTTTAGCCTAAATTAGTTTTTTTGTCTTTTCCTTGCAGATTTCCCGAGTGACATTCCTTCATATCACCACACTGGGCCTCTGCCTTGCTACAACAATGGCAGCCATACTACCTGCAAAAATTGCCCTCGTAGAAGAAAACGACTTCTATCCATCTACGCCAAACGATATAATACCAATACAACCGGCACTGATCTATCCACAGTCGAGGGGTACTTACCAGGGCAGGAATCTTTTCAAGGAAAACGATATAATTTATGTAAAACTACTGAATCGTCAAGGATATCGGCCGAGAAAATTAAAACACATCGATGAAGCCGACAATGAAATGCAAATGAAGGACATTTTCTTTGTGAAAGCCATTACCAATGGCCAATTTAGCACCAATCGTTTAAAAGTTTATCGTGTGCCCGAATTCTATGCCATAAATGTCTACAAGAAAGGCGAACTGATGATGGAACAATAATTAGCTTAGTCTTCGAATTATTGAAATTATAAATTTAAATAAATTATTCTTAAAATATTAGTTATATATATATATATCTTAAACTGCATATATGTGATGATTATACATTGTACACAATGAACTGTGAAATTTTAAATTTAAGAGTTAAATAAATTATATTATTTGAATACAATAATTTTAATTTATTATATTGTAAATGCAACAATTAGAAAGAAAAAAATAAATATAACAACAAATGTAAAAAACATTGAATGATTTCTTTAATATATTGGCTGATGCGCACGACAACTCTCGAAGGGGTTATGCAATATGCTAAACATTTATTCTCATACCAAATTTTAATAAAAATAAGTAAATTACCCCCCGACTTGAGTTATGATTATTCAAACTGTTGAGCCTTTATGGGGGAGGTTCCCGAGCACTTGGCCAATATTGACCAATTCGTATCGGACCTAAGACTGATAAAAATATTACAATGTGCCATATTTGGACTATATCGTCTACTTCGTATACTTTTTATGAGATATGTGCAAATTTTTGGAAAATGTGGAAATATACGTGACGTTACAGATACACTGGTGGCCAAAACTAAAGCAACTTAAATCGCAAAGACAATAAATGTCCTGTAACTTTTACAAAAATAAAAAATCGTAATTATTTTTCCAGTTTTAAATGAGGGGTTTAATTCACATTTAAGAAACTAAAAATAAAAATACAAAAATAATTTTGAACGAAAAATAATATGTGGAAAACTAAAATGATCCAATTTTTGCTTGGTCAAAACTAAAGCAACTTTTGATTTTTTTTATTTTAAAATAATCAAATTTTGGCTAGTAGTCGATAGCATAACCATTATTTTTGATAGCAGCTGCACACCAACGAGGGATTGAATCTATAACACGCTCAATTTGATCCTTGGGTGTGCTTTCCCAGGCACCCCGAATTCTTTAGAAAATTTTGTGCTTATTTATTTCCGAATCTATCTTGATCTTCCTATCTACGATACTCCAAAGGTTTTCTAAGGAGTTTAGGTCAGGTGATTGTGCCGGCCATAACAAAGCATGCATTTTTGACTCCCGCAACCAATATTTGACAAGTTTTGATACAAGTTTAGGATCATTGCCATGCTGAAACACCCAACTCAGCCGAATATTTTACTCAGCGTAAGGGAACAACGTGATGTCCAACACATCTTTGTAAACAAACCGATCCACAACTTCCTTTATTTCGTGAATAGGCCCAAGTCCATAGAAAGAAAAACAGCGCCACGCCATTTTTAACCCTCCCTCATGCTTCACTGTACCTTTGCAACACTGCGGCATGAGTCCTTCATTTTTTGGTCTTCTCACCGTAAAATTGTTCACGTCTGAGCCTTTAATATTAAACGTAGACTCATCCCAGAAATAATGTTTTTCCATTGAGCTTGATTCCATTTAATATTATCGTTTCCGAAAGCCTTTTTGATTTTTTCAGATATAAATGTTTTTTTGATGTCTTACGGGCATGCAGACCAGCTGCCACTACTCGTCTACGCACTGATCTCGAGCTCTCTCACCAATCCAGTTGAACTCTTAAATGGTTGTTATTTTATTTCTCTCTCAATTTGTTGATCAGTACGGGCTGTAGTTTTTCACGGCCTTCATCCGTTATAGACTGTTACTACTCATGCAGTTTCAAAAAACCGGCTAAGTATACAGAAATAATTATGAAATCACATAAATATTTATGAAATATTTCTCGGAAATCATTTTCTGTGATATGTTGTTTTGATTATCACTGATAATTTGCTGTTTTATTCAGGTACTGTATTTGCTTTTAGCCATTTTTAAATTTTTTTTGGGCAGTACTTAAAAAACGAAAAGAAAAACACATACTGTTGTAAAAAACTTCTCAAAAAGGATTTATGACAAGCGAAATTGTCGACGGAAGCGAAAAGCGATAAATATCACCGTAAAAACAACTGAAATTGCAGCGGTTATATGAATGAACAACAGAGTTGCTTTTGTTTTGTCCAAGCCAAAATCGGGTTAATTGACTTTACCAAACATTATTTTTTATATAAAAATGAATTTTGGTTTTAGGTTTTTAAAAAGTGAATAAAGTGCCTAATTTAAAACAAGAAAAAATTTCTCATTTTCTTAATTTTTGAAAAAGTTACAGGGCATTCATTCTCCTTGTAATTTCAGTTGCTTTAGTTTTGGCCACCAGTGTATATCGTTTTCATACTTCATCTAATACAATTAAAAACATTGGTTTGTGCAAAATTTGGAGGAAACCATCTTGTTTTGATGGAAATATTGAGGTGTAAAAAGTCTGAAGAATCGGATGATAATTTCGCGTTTTGGATGCCCAAAATGTTGACCCCTTGTGGGTGAGGTACCAGAAGGAGTGTTCGAATCTCTACCATCTCTATTACAGATCTTGTGTTGATGAAAGCATTGAGACGTGCGAAGTTTCGATTTCTTTGAGCGTTTTGGTTTTCAAAATCTTGAACCCTATGGGCAGGTAGCAAAGGAAATGTCCGATCTCTGCCAGCTTTAAAACAGACCTTGTGTTGATGGAAATATTGAGATGCACCTTGTCTTGAAAAGAATCGGATGTTAATTTCGCTTTTATGAGCTTCATGGATATTCAAAATTTTGACCCTTTGTGGGGCAGGTACCAGAAGGAGTGGACCGATATATCATCTGCACAACAGATCTTTTGTTAGTGGAAATAATGGGATATGTAAAATATAAAGATAATCTTTTGCTTATTTGAGATTTTATAAACGTTTTGGTTATTCAAAACGTTGTGAGAAAGGTACCAAAAAAAATGGTCCGATCTCCGTTTTTATAACAGATCCTGTGTTGATAGAAATATTCAGATGTGCCAAGTCTAAATGGAATCGGATATTAATTTCGTATTTTATGAGCTTTATGAATATTTTAAATGTTTTCCCCATTGTGATGGAGGTATCAGAAGGAGTTGACCGAAATTTTCCATCCTCACACCAGATCTTGGGTTAATAAAAATAATGTGATGTGTGTAATTGGAAGACTCATAAATCACATTTTATAAGAATTATAATTATTCAAAATTTTGATCCTTTGTGGCGGAGAGGTACTTGATAAAGTGGACCGATACCTTCTATTCTATTTCTATATAAGAGTAAATCAGTATTTTTATACCCTACAATATTGGTTTCCCACATAGGAAAGTATGTAGGGATCTTCCTATCACACCTAGCAGAGTCGATCTAGCTATGTATGTCCGTCCACCCGTTTGTCCGTCTGTCCATGTTAATTTGTAATCACTCTACAGGTCGCAATTATGGCGAACTTCTGGCTTTTTATGCTGATTTCGTTGACAAATATAGCTAAATATCGTAGACAAGCAAATAAATTTGGAGATACAGGGGGGCCTCTTGCTTTTGGAGATGATCGCAAAATATTTAGGGGTTTAAATGAACCAAAAACACAAAAAAAATTTCTTGATCACACAATTGAAGCCAATCGATACGCCTGAGGAGAGAATTAAGGACAGGGAAGAATTCTAGCATTTTGGATGACCATTGGATAATATTTAGCTGTAAAATGGACCACAACAACTAACATCACGACGGAGTGCGTAAATAATGGGCAAATGTCCCTGGTCAAAATGCTAAGGGTAATATAATTTCAAAAGCGAAATCTCCCAATAAGGATTTGGACATAAATGGGGGCTTCTAACATATTGTAGTGTTGTAGGGTATCAGATGGTCACTTACTTTTTTTTGTTTAAGTTGTATTTTCCATTCAATTTTTTATTTGGAGATGTTGAGTTCTTATTGTGTAGAAACGGTACCAGCACACCATATGGCCACCTTTTGATGAATCCCGTATAAAAATTTCGCCTGATTTTAGTTACTGCGAGAGAAATTTTTGGAAAATATTTTTAATAAGTAAAATCGACATTGTTGCAATCTTAATCGATTTTACTTATTAAAAATATTTTCAAACAAGTAAGTAAAGGCTACAGTCGAGCGGGACCGACCGTTGAATACCCTACAACACTATAATAAGTGATACAATTTATATAGGCGAGATACTCGAAAGGTATTGTGACAAATAATAAAAGAAAACCATCAGGTTTCGTTCTCTAATTTTCGAATAATAGCAACTTAAGCTAATTTGCTCATTTCCAATTTATTGGTAGATGTTGCACGTAAATGGTCTTCCTAGATCTGGAACCAATATTTCCCAAACACCTATAATCTCTCAGAAGTGGCAAAAGATTAACATTTATTATTGGTTTTTGACTGAAACGTATCTGTATGAGATACAGACATTTGACTATATTCTTCAACGAAATCAGTGTTAACGACATAATCAGCAGTGCGTCTTTCCTGTATTTGTGAATTCTCCAAAAAGTCACTGGAATGGACATTTTCGTATTTTGTCTACAAAAGTTGGCAAACTATTTCGCACATTGAATATTTTTGGATGGCCATCCAAAACTGCTTGGCTTTTGCAATGTCCGGTAACCCCCATTCAAATGTGCGTAAGGGTCGGGCGATAATTACGACCTGCTGACAATTTTGCAGTTTTTTGGTCCATTTCAACCCCTAAATATATGGCGATCATCTCCAAAAAGAGTAGGCTTCTATTCTGACCCTCTCCATGCAAAATTTCGTAAGGATCGGGCAATAAATGTGATCTGTATATGATATCCTGATATCCTAACTATTTAGTTTTGTTAGCTGTAGAAATATTACCAAATGTTAAATTCAAAATGAAAATATGCCAAAAATATGACAAAATTTAAAAAATATGAGGAAATTTTAGAAAATCAATATTTTCATTTTTAGGGAGATATTTTTATGCGATTTTTTTAGACGTTTTTTTCTTTCCTTTCTTTCTTTCCGAAATCAGTTCAGCCGTTCTCGACATATAAGAGATCTTTCACATATTTTGCTATACATCCGTTTTGTTGGATGTTAACATCAATGTAAAGATCAGAAGTAACCTTGTCATGGCTTTGTGAATTCGCCGGAATTCAAAATATTCGCGGTTTAATGAAAAATGTTGATTTTTTTCAAAACAAAAGATATGGTCTATTTTACCCGCTAAATATTATCCGATGACCCGCTAAATATTATTCTTCCCTGCCCTAAACTCTAGCTACATGCAAAATTCCGCGTCGATTGGTCTATAATTGCGACCTGTATAGCTACTGCAAAATCCGACATTTTTTCAGTATTTGGTCCATTTCAACCCCTAAACATTTGGCAATCATCTCCAAAAGCAATAGGGTTCTATTCTGACCCAAACCCCACCTTCATGCTAAATTTCGTAAGGACCATAATTGCGACCTGTAGCGTGATTACAAATTAACA